GGATCCTCTGCAGTGAATGGGTGCCATCAGAATGAGAGTCCAAACAGCTGATAAAAACATCACAACAATCCACAAGCAATCCACACCACTCCAGTCCATCAGTTAACATCTTGAGAAGCCAAAAGCTGCATGTTTGGAATAAAATTGTGATGGTTTTATCAGCTGTTTGGACTCTCGTTCTGACGGCACCCATTCACTGCAGAGGATCCATTGGTGAGCAAGTGATGGAATGCTCAATTTCTTAAAACCGGGTCGGGGGGCAAATGTAAATTTTTATGTGAACTGTTCCATAAAAGTAGTCAGTGATCTTGTATGGTGCTCTCACCATCTTGACCTCTTTTCAGGGCTTTGGAGTGGCAGCGAAGACCACGCAGGAGTGTAGGAAGGTCGACCCCATGTCCATAGTGGTTTTCCATCAGGCTGATATTGGCGAGTACATCAGAAGTGAAGACACACTCACATAAGAGGATATAATATCTCCACTGCTCATGGACAGTTCATTACATTCTTTTGACTGGATGATCTTTTACACAAGTTTGACAGACTTTCCCAACTTTAAATTCAAAGCAGTTTTCAGTGTTTAAACAATATATGTTGTATGCGAGCGACTATTATCATTGACTATTTCTGCATCAAAGAAATACAAAAAAAGTCAAACTTCAAGGTTTTGCAATAACTGTATTTTTTGTGATTTTATGAATTACTTTTAGATTTTTTAAAAATGATAGAGCAGCTGGGTAGAACCATACCAAACAGGATACAAAACCAGATCAAACCAGACCAATCTTATACAAAGTAGTTAAAAAATAAATGTTTAGTAACAAAGGAAAACTGATTTGCTAAGGGTTCAGCAAATAATGAAAAGTGCTTTTTTTCCACAGATGTTGGTTATTCTTGGCAATAAAATAATATTTCAATTTTGAACTGTTTTCAACACTGATAATAATATGAAATATTTCTTGAGTGGCATATTAGAATGATTTCTGAAGGATCATGTGACACTGAACACTGGAGTAATGATGCTGAAAATTCAGCTTTGCATTACATGAATAAATTACATGTTAAAATATATTAATAGTTTTTTTTTTTAAATAACTGTTTTCTATGCGAGCAAAAACACCTAAAGAGATCAGGTTTAGGCTTCAATAGCTTTTAAATCTAATGACTTTATGTAAAAGAACTCTACATAAGAAAGAACATCATAACTTCATGACACTTGAAAGTATCAGAACAATATTTGTTTACACCATTTATTGCAGACATAATTTCCGAATCTTTGCTTTGTGGCTGTAAACCCTGTTTCCAACATTTCCAAGTTCAGACACTGCTAAAATGAGCTTGAAGCTTTGAGACGTTTCGTTTAATAACCCTTTTCCCGCTCAGTGAGACCTGCAGCACTAGAAAGCTTGAATGTGGGGAAAAGGTGAAAGTTGGAGACAAAGTTTCCAGATTTTGTTGATAGTATCTGACTGATGATGGGAATACGCTTGGTTGAACCGCCAAGAAATAACATATGTAATAGTTTATTCCCTAATGCTAATCTTCTGAGGTTAATGAAGGTCATTTAAGAGCAAACATCCCTCTTTACAGTCAAGTATCATCTAAAATTACATAAGCATGTTTTAAAAATAGAGCTGAGGTCAGCCAAATACTGTTGCAGTAGTAATAATAGCACAGAATGCAAAACTCTTAATTATTCTAATGCAAAGAAAACTCCCTCTTCTACCCAATTAACACATTGTATAAAAAGCATGAGATACATTCTTCATACATCATACAAGTCTTCTCATATCAAATTCAAAACATGATCTTCGGGGATTGCATGTAGTACATATTCCCTTTACAGAAAAATTAATAACTCGTAGACTTGTTTAGAAAGGCTCAAAACGTTCTTTAAAGTAAAAATAAATTACACCAAGCCATTCGAGTTCAATCGGAGTTACGCTGCATGAACCGTCTGCGTGAAAAGCCAGTCATAATAATGAGAAGGGAATGTCTAAAACAAGGTTTCATTGCCATATGACAGTCATTAATGCTGAATAACAAAAGTGGCACACAAACTCATTACTCATTGTAACAAATAAAATGCTGGAATTACACTGATATTAATGGCAGAGTAACAAAAGTCTTACTAATTCTGTAGTTTTATTTCATCTATAATCATTTATCTAGCATTATGGATGAATCAAGTGTCAGACTGGCTCAAATTTTCTCTAGTCTTTTTTGTTCAAACGCAGCTGGCTTCATCTTTTACATTAGGACTTCTTGAATGGCTGTGAAACTAGAACCAAAGCATCAATACATATTCAAATATTGTAAACATAATATCCGAGAGCATTAACACACATATGCATCTGTTCTGCTTGGGAAATGGAGTGGTTTTCTAAGCCTCTTAAAATCTATCTAGACCAATCCAAACTGGCCTTTTAGTGTTGTGATATAATTCTCATGTACTGCCATTATTATTATTTTTTAAATATTTTATATATATATATTTAAAGTAAAAATAACTAATCTTCTCATCATACAGCAAGGCGAATCTCACAAAGCCAGTCAAAAACATATCCAGGACACCAAAATCAAAAGAAAAAATAAAAGTAAATTATATATTACATAAAGAAAAGGTCTATATTTAGGAACATCAGGACTGATTGAAGATGATTTTTATATTTGATAACTGATGCTTTTTAAAAAATGAATATATATATGTGTGTGTGTGTGTGTATATATATGTGTGTGTATATATATATATATACTGTATACATGTGTGTATATATACTGTATATATGTGTGTATAAATACACTGTATATATGTGTATATATATACTGTATATACTGTGTGTGTGTGTATATATATATACTGTATATATATATTAGCACATAATTTATATTATATTGTTATATTATATTAATAAGAATTTGTGGGAAAGGGCCTGATTGTCTTTATGCAAAATATGATTTCTTGTTTTCTTATCATTTCATTTGGGGGTCAAATATGACACATCTCGACCCTGCCAAACAACTTCCAGCTTTATATGATGAAAAGATTTTTCCACAAGGAAAACTTAGTGGTCACCATGAAACGATTCTCTAAGCTAAAGGTAAAAGCAATCTACCGATAAAAGTGAAGAAGACAATGAAAACACGATGCAACGAGAAACAGTATAAAACACAAAGTGATAGTCAGCCTCGGTGAATTGTGCAGCAAACTGACGAGCTTGCTAAAAGTCTCACCACATGGATGGCGCCCGTCCACGTCAGCTCATATACTGCTGCGTGTTAAAATTGTAATCTACACGTTAATTAGAGTTCCTGGCTCAGCCGTGGGCCTCGTGCGCACAGAGGACATATTTTAATTATGTACGCCATAATGTGATATGTCTTTATTTATCTCACAGAGCAGCTTAAGGTCAATGTGAGAATTATATATAGTTACGCCGTCCATTCAAGCTCTTTGTGGGATCGGCATTAATTTCAAGACTTCAGAATGAGTCTATTATTATCTCTACAATACATGAAGATGAGACTATTTTAAAATGACTTTATCGTTTAGGGTATGTGCTAAAGACAAGGTGACTAAACCAGCCGCAAGCTCTTAACACCTAAGAAAGCGAATCTCACAAGGAAATGCCCAGTTCCTCCAAAATCAAAAGAAAAGAAAAATATTAATTATATTTCACTAAGAAAACAAAGCTCATTTTATCTGCAATTAAAATTTTTGTGCATTAAACAGCTAAACAAATTCTCATCACTGTAGTGTGAAACAAATCTCACTGTCATTGGTATAATAAAGAAATTAAAAATTTAAATTAGCATAAATTATATTCAGTACAAAAAATATCATGATGTATAAATACTTCACATTTGAAATAATAGATTATATTACAATAATGCAAATTAAATATTTACTTTCAATGTAAATATAATAGGTGAAGAAATATAGAACAATATAATTCCTTTTGATTTTGAGGTGATATATGACCACCTGGGCATTTCCTGACAGTTTTTGTGAGATTCACATAAGAATTTTTTTTTTTTGGCAAAACACATTCCGTTATGATCTATTTCTTTAAACAACCATTATTTTTGCCGCTCTAGATGCAATTACTTCAGGCTGGATAACGGATATCAACACCCTTCAAATGATCCGTAAATTTCCGAAAAAAAGAAAAAAAAGAAAAGCAAATCAAAAACCCATGAGTGTGAATGTTCATGAAGACAATATGAGCATAACAAGTATGATCCGCCGTCCGAGGTATTAATGTGTGGACACAGACAGGCTGTATCGAGACGTAGCCTCATTGTTCCAGGAGCGACATCAGTTATTTAACAGGTTTTCACCGTAGTACCTCCAAACCTGTTTCAGCATTAAAGGAAGGAGTCCTATGTCCTATGTGAGGGGGGTAATAGGCATGAAGGCAGACGGCTGTGCCTTATAGACAGCATTCTTCACTCAGACTGAGAACTCGGCCCCGTTCTTCCGGGCGCGAACCATCAGAACCTGAAGACGGAGTCCAGCAAAAGGGTTGAACCAGAGCAGAGAGGGCGGCCCGCCGAAAACAGCCTTCATCCCCTCCCATCGCACCCGCCGCTCCCACGTGGGCTTCTCGTTCTTCAGTCGCTCGATTTCCTGTGCGGGTCAAGCCAGAAATGTAGAGTTAAGGCTAGTACAGTCAGCGCATTGTTACAGAACTCAAATGCAGTGAATTTGAACTGAAATAATATAGCATAAAATGAAAAGATCTTATTTTTACTGCTTTATTATACATAAAATACTTGTGTTCTTATGATTAATATATGTTACTCAGGTTATCTTTGTGTAGTATTAAAATTGGTTTGATGATCTGAATCTTTTAAGTGTGACAAATATGCAAACAATTAAAAAAACAGGAAGGGGGCAAAAACTTTTTCACACCACTGTATATATATATATATAGAGAGAGAGAGAGAAAATAAATCATTTTGAACTCAAATGCAGTGAATTTGAACTGTAGATCTGAGAAATAATGTAGCATAAATGTAAATGTTGAAAATAAATTTTTTACTGCTTTAAAATCAAATTCAATATTTTAAATTTGTATTTTTATGATTAACATAATAAAATAAAGTAATATTTTATTACATACATATATAATATATTAATATAAATAATTACAACTCCAATGCAGTGAATTTGAACTGTATATCTGAGATATACTGTGGCATACAATGAAAATATCTTCTTTTTACTGCTTTATTATACATAACATTTGTAATTTATATTTTTATGATGAATACAATATAAACTAAATATCTTAATATAAAATATAATATTTTAATATATACATATTTAATATATTAAAGGGGTCATATGATGCAAATTTTTCCTTTATCTTTGGAGTGTTACAAGCTCTTGGTGCATAAAGAAGATCTGTAAAGTTGC